GTAGGTTACTAGTTGTACATAGAGTGTTCAGAAGTAGGATAGCTGATTAAATTGTGAATCCTTTGTAGTTTAAAAAAAAATACATCCTGACTTGGTTATATCTGTAGCTTCACTCAACATTGAACGTAAGATTATCACATGCAAAAGCAAACAAAATGTAAAGCTTCCATATAACTGGTTATTTATTCCATTTGACAATTTTGAAATTCAGAAACGTGATGTGATAGGTTATCGTGGGAGGAAAATTAGAACATTTATGGTAGGCAAAGAGAATAAAGATCTTTGTCATGAAAGAATGATTTCTGCATTAGGAATAGCAATCCGGACACCTGCCTTTCCAAACCCAATTTACGATTCATTTACTTCTGGAAGAGTAATTTTACAAAACATTCTATAATTCCATGGGAGGGCATTTTTGTTCTTTGGTGGTACCATAACATTTGAATAAGTTATGACATTTAAAACCAAGTTCTTGTTTTTGCTAACCTGCTTAGTGCCATTAATAGTGCCATTAAAGATTATGTATCTTGATTCTTAATCCACAACTTGAAAGTCCTTGTACCAGAATTAAAAATTAGGAAATTATACAAATATACAAGTCATGTAGTATTAGAAGATATTCCAGAGGGAAAAATTGGTGATCAACAGTTGTCCAGCACCCCCAGTACTGGATAGTTTCAGATCTATTTTAATCTCCTTAATAAGTCCTATAGCTATGCAAGTGAGTGCATTTTGATAACTGCTGTGCCTAATTTGTAACAATTACTGTCAACCTTCAGTTAAGAGACTGTTCATTCCACACTGGCCCAGAAAAGAGTGAAATGTGTGACTCGTGTGCATAATTTTATTCACATCATATTTCATACTGATTATGTATTGATGACATTGATTCATTTACTCTTTACAGCGCCACTTGCATGGATATTAAATCTTATTGACCACAGATGAATTTTAATTTCAGATTGGTGATAGATTTTTCCATCAGCTCTGATAGTATGTTTGACTTTTTCATCATTAACCCAGGCAATCACACAGCACTGAGTTATTGCATTGAAACAAAAAGTGCACACTTCACTTGGTAATTCTTTATGGATTTACAATAGGAACTTCATTAATGTCTGTAGTAAGGATCACCAAAAAAAAAAAAAAACAACATTTATCTGCAAATAGGAATTTAGCAAGCTTCAAAAATCTCGGGGAAAATAATAGACTTCTTTGTCTTCTATAATGCATTTTCTTAGTGCGGTGGTAGAGGTGGGTGGATGACAAATATTTGAAAACTTTTAACCATTAAAATTATGCTGCCATATTTTGATGCAGCATATTTGATTTCATATTTGATGAAAAGGTTCCCTTGCTCAAGTTTATGAGGTAATTTTAACTGTATGTTCCATTTCTTAGTGTTAATTACATGAAATTATGTGCACTTTTATTTAATTTATTAATATGGGAAGCTACATAGAATAACCATTTTAAGAATAAAAGTCAAACTCTTTAATTGCAAACTAACCAGTCACTGCTGATGAGGCATTTCAAGCTTCTTTAAGGAATGCCTAGACATATAAATGCTTAAAGGTTTTTATGATTTGGATTCTAATGAAGTGAATCTACAGGGCAGAGTTGAGAACAATGAATGAGTAACATAAATATTTTGAGGTACCTATTCAAAATAGAGGCAAAGCTGTTTGTAGTTACTAGCAAAAAAGAAAAAATATGCTAGGAATAAAATGGTAGACCTGTCCGCTCCTGATGTCAAAGCTTAATTTTTCCCCGAGTTAGAGCTTCACTTTGTTGCTGGTTTTATACCATTTCTTTCTCTGACTTAGCAAAGTACTATACAAAAAAATGATTGTTGCAGTTCACCAGCATGCATGGTGAGAATGAAAGGATGTAGAAATGAGATGGAAAATGTTGCTAGATTGTGAAGCACTGAATACAGGCAATAGCAATGTTAGGTAGGGACTAAGTATAAAGCACACCTGAGAAATATGAGCAGGCTTTCATACCATCTTTTACAGTATAAGATGGCGTAAATTTAGAGGTGTTAGGGAGGAGAACTGCAGAAAAACCAGGTTTACCTGTTGATGAGATTACATATATTGTGCCTTTCATTGAAATCTGTTTTCTACACCTTTTCCAGGATGGCAGTGGTAGGGTATTCATTTTGGAACACTAAATATATTTTAGGCAATGAATAAGAACCTATTAGTATATATTTTCTTAATGTTGGAGGACAAAAAAGAGACAGGTGGCCTTCAAAAATTAATAGCTCTTAAAAGGCACAAGGAAATACAATTTAAGGATATGTTCTTGTCAGACCTTGGTGAGAAGCTGTGTTTTGGGGGTGCTGTTAATTAAGAACATTTCCCCGTTGGCATAAGTGTCTCACATTTTTGCCCTTGGTGCTCAGCTCACCATGAGCACGGTCAATTCACAAGGTAGTTTTTATAAATAAAGGTTTTGGGCAAACTGAACATGGTCCAGAGAGATACTAATGAGAGGGCAAGGGGGAAGAGTTAATGAAAACACACTTCCTGATGGAACATAAACTGCTTTTTGGAACTGGAGAGGCTTTAAAATTATTTTCCCAAAACCCTGTGGCGTTTCTTTTCTGGAGGCGATGAGATGGGGAGAAATGACAAATGGCTTTGTTTTATTATTTTCTCTTCTCTTGTTCTCCATATTTTTGGTAGGGAAAATTGGACATTTATTTTGGCCGTTTTCCTTCTATTCGCAGAATCAATTACATTTTTGGTGTATTATGCGTGGTAAATACACTCAAGCATCCTCTGGCTTAAAAGCAATGAGTTGATTATTCGAACATCCCTTCTTTAAAGGCAGTTAATTGCATGGAAAATATAGGCCCCCATTGTCTGGTCCCTTTAAACTTTTATTCGGAGATTTGTTCCCAGGGTCTGGGCTGTGTAGTGGTTGTTCTGCATCACTGGCTGTTGTATATTCCAAGAAAAATAATTTTAAGCTTTTAAATCATACAGTGATTGAAGTCTTGCATTTCAGATGGACTGAAATCTCAGGCCACTAGTTTTCAAGGATCTACAAGATTTTGTAACCTATATCACTTAAAGGAGGCTTGGCTAGCTTCGGGAGAATACTGCCTTCTAGAGGGTTATGTGAATCAGGAATTATGGCTAATTTTTTCTTTTGTAGATTGCTGCCTGTTCTGGAATTTTTTTCTTCCATTCAAAAGTGTGATGGTACCATCTAGAATTATCTGTGCTTTTCAGTGGAACAGAGTTAGATCACATCTCTTTAGTTGGAGGAAAATTTAGTGAGTGTTCTAGTTGACATGTCACTTCGCAGTTCCCCCATAGTTACATAATTGGTGTTGTGTGTGTCCATCGTAGAGGACATTTGATGCTCATTTATTAAATATGCTTGCTGGCTGCTGCCGCATCTTTGTTCTGGACAGACAAATTACCTTTCTCACACTGAGCTTCCACTCTGGGGAATTAAGCCTCCACCACTTTAATTAGCTTAGAAGTGGGGGGTTGCAGTTCCTAATAGACTACAGGCTTTTTGTAAGTTAGGGAAAGAGTGAAATGAGAACTTCTAGGAAGCTCAAAATGTCATTTAAAAACCATAAAAACCTAATATATATTATTTCATTTTGGTAATTGCAAACAGATTGTATTTGACAAGTGTGTGTATTTCCATTTCTGACTTAGACATTGAAGCTACCCTTGCATTGAACTATGTTCTTTTTTCTATCACAAGTCATTAACACATTACATGTATTGATTCACATATTTGTGTAACTATTAAGTGACATAGCAGATAGGAAATAGTGAAAAATATGTGAATATTTGTACATAGAAATTTTCATACAGACACACATACACCTATAGGTAATACCAAATGGGTGAATATTTTTCACATAGGGATATCAGAATAATAATGATAACTGCCATTATTCGTTGAGGTTTTATTAAGGGCCAAGCACTGTTGAAAGTGCTCCCGTATGTATTATGTAATTATCATAACAGCGTCATTATCCCTTCTTTAAAGATGAGGAAACTGAGACACAAGCAGTTTAAGCAACATTCCTAGAGGTTACACGGTTGAGTTTATTAACCCCAAACTTCCTGGGTAGGAACTTGTCTTGGAATGTCCCCGCTATTTAAAAAATTCAAGATCCCACTGCTGGGCAAGATGTTACATTCGTTTTGGAAAGACACTTTCTCTTAACAGAGTTAAGCAATTAATTGTAGTACTTTACACCAGAAACTTTCTGAGTGTCCATTTTCTGTCTCATTTTCTTTGCTGGTAAAACTGCAGAAAATGTTATGCTTTAGTTCTTCACTGCCAGAGTAAGTAGCATAGAAAGCCTCTATCAAGTCACAGTTGGAAAGTAATCTAATACAAGAAGATTAGCGAATGTGGGGAAGACAAAAGCAGTCATATTTGAGTTTAATATCTCTCAAATTTAGCATTTTAGCTAAGATGCCCGTTTTTATTTCTTGCAGGTCTGCTAAAAGGTCAGAGTAATGCAGAATGCGTGCCTTCATCTCAGATTTGTTCATCACAGGTGGATCCCATGTGTCTTCAGTAGACAAGTCACCTTTGTAGCTAGCACCAGTGCCAGCTCCATGCCATTGCACCTTCTTTAGTCTTGATTGCCCTTCCCGCATTTATTGGTGTATTAAAATGACTGAATATGAACATTAAGGACTCCATGAACCTGGGCTAATGGGAGACTGTAGAGAAAATGAAAAAAGATCCACCAGAGGACATCTTGTGGGGCGGGGGGAGGGAGCTGGGGGGGAGGGAAATGACTAATGAAGCTAATTAAAAGAAGCATTCAAATCTGCTTTCTACCCTCATTAACAATTAGCAGGGCACTGGCCAGAGTTTGTACCCTGTGTTTTACCTTAACAACATTCTATTTGCTCTTTGTATATTTAAGTGTTGTAAGGAAACGTGTTTCAATCAAAACTGAACATGAGATAAAGGAAAGAGATGTGGCTTTTGTGATACTCTATCACAAACACTTATTGTATCTCTGTAAAATACAATGTATGTATGCATGTAAGTGTTTTGTCCTAATGTTGCTACTCCCATGGCAAAGAAAAAAAAAGAATGAAAAAAAGAAAAAAAAATTGGATAAAAAAAATCAGGCTCATAGCAGCTACTGTGTAGAAAATTCCCCCACTTCTAATTTGCTGAATGAAGAAAAAAAAAAATCTTTTATTTGTGATATTTTCAGAGACATTTGCTCTAGTATGGTGTATTTAAATAATAAAAACTTAAAAGAAAAAATATTTAATGGTGTTTGGGTTTAAACACTGCTTTTTCTTTTCTGTATTTTGGAAACATTCAGTTTTTATTGTTGAATAACAAGCTCACTTTAAATTTGAAGGAGTTGAGGGAGGTGGTATATTTATTTAGCTCTGGACCAGTAAGATATTCTTCAAATTACTTAACCACGCCATCCATTATTGGCAGGGGTACAAAGCAAAGTTTCTAACAGAGCCCTTTCTATAAGTCAAGAATATTCTGTTAACAGCATTTCGTTACACTTCTAGATCACAGTAAGTCTTTTGTGTTTATATATAAATACTTGAGTATCCACTATTTTGTTTATTCTTTTTCTCAATAGCAAAGCCTTGGGTATTGATGAAAAGTATGTAAAAAAAAAATATATATATATATATATGACACAACCATCCTGCTCTCTTACCAAGTTTATAGCTTTTGAAGGAAGTCACAATTTCTAAGTCATAACTGTACATATTTTGAAACTCACCTAGTTGTAGGGACCCAGAGTTCTTTTATAGTGATCTTTGATGGGTGAAGTAGCTGTTTCCTGGTGACCTTTAGGCTCGTGTGGTCGACTATAAGATATGTTTATTTTGTTTTGCTCCTAGACTTCTTTACTGACTCTGCCTTTCTGTATGTATTTTGGGGGAAGATTCTGACTTCATTTAGTCTTAGTCTTGAGATACTGAGTTGCTGGTTGCAGGCAGCAGAATGTCCACGACAGCGCCTGTACTGCCCGCAGAGCTGCCCTCCGGAAAGCATGTGGGTATAACACAGCTAGTGTTAGAAGGAGGAAAACCAAATAGGCCTGCAGGCTGAGGTTGTACTGCCAGCTTCCTTAGATGTGAGCAAATTTCAACTATAACTTCCATCACAGACTAATAAAACCAGGTGTGTGAACACTAGTATTTAAAATTTTCTTTTTTAAGATGGCATTTATTTTGTTCCAGAAAAGCGCCTGGTGTAGACCCTCCCTCTGAGAATAGCCATGGAGCCATGTAGAGAGGTCTAGCCCAGCACATCTCAACTACCAGTCAGCTTCCCTTTGAGAAATGTGCTCACTTCCTGTTTTCAGAGATTCCAGGGCAGGGGGGAAAAAAATCAGTTGCTTGAACCTCAAACCTGGAGGAGATTGTAAAGGCAGAGTTGAAGTGAATAGTTTTGTTAGAACCTTATAAAAACAAAATGCAAGGAAATAATATGAAGAAATCACATATATATCTGTTTGAATTAGATGTCTCTCTGAATTAGATCCTTGGGGAATTTCTTCAAGCTAGTTCTGGTTCTTACATTTGTTTTTGTTTTTGTTTTTTTCCTTTAAGAAACTTTCTCAAGGAAGTTAGACTGGGATGGTAAAGGGGGAAATATGCTAATGAGATTGCAGGCATTTTCTATATTCTTTTTGGCATGAGCACTCATGTCCCTGATAGTGTAGAAATTCAAAGGAGGTGGTTAATAATTTTAGTAAATAATATATTGTGGCATTTAGTGATGTGGAGGGCTAAGGTCATTACAGACTTTAAATAAACTATTATATGGCTGGTTCCTCAAGCACTGCTGCGTATTTAATAATGAGCTTCTAAAAGCATTTCTTAAGTTGCAGACCTATAAGATTACAAATGTCACTCATGTTAGTATAATCCACATGCAAGTGATGAAGCCTTCTCTTTGATGTGCTAAATTGGAGAAGGACTAATGGAGCTATGAATATACAATAGAACATATTTAAGTAGTAGTCTTGCTTTAGGTAAAACACTTTCTTGAAACCAGAGGCATTTCAAACAATAAAACCCGGCTCTAATGGGGATGCTCTGTGTGGATGGAAGGCTACTAAAAACACTCAGGTTTATTCAGATGTGAGCAGCGATTGTGTGCAGTTCCTCCCCCAACCTCAACATTGCTTAGGAAAAAAAAAAAAAAAGTCTATGAGTTTATTCTACCTTTCATCCATTGCATTTGTAATGTTACTAGTTAGCGAGATGGACACTTCTTTTGAAAGGATTTACTTAATATTAAGCATGTCATAGAGCAAGATGGCCCCCAGTCCCTACAAGCAAGTGCAATTAAAAATAAAAGCAAATGTTACTTAGCCCTGCTGAACCAATAAAAAAAATTATGTTTATGATACATTTAAATGTCTCAATCATGCAAATTGTCACTCTTGCTAATGAAACAATTTTGTAAAAAGATTGTCCTCTAAAAGGGTTTAATGTTTTTTACCTATCTGTCTAGTTAGATTTACACATCCCGCAAGGAAGGGGAGCCTGAAGCTTTTCCAAACCAAATTGTCACTAGAAACTATTTTCAGCTCTTTCATGATTTATTAGGAAATAGTTTAACCTGGACTGTAGTGTCTTATAAAATACAAAATGAGAAAACTGTCACACCAAAATGAAGTTGTGAAATTGTCATCCTCTTAACATTAGCTGTGTTTAAATTCTTTTGCCCTTATTAACAGATATTTGAAACAACTGAGCATCTAAAATGAAGCCCTTAAAGGGCTTCAAATGTCAATATAGTAAGATTCTAATGTGTACTACTATTTATATAAAATATTTCTTAGGGCCCATAAATCATATAACAGTGAACCCAAGATCTACATATGGAGTCTAGTGAAGAGTTTCTGTGTAGCCTAATTGTATTTAAATTAAGGAAATCAAAAAATCCTTTCACCCTTCACCCCAAAGACCCCTTCACCCTTCACCAGGGAGTTCTGTCCTGGGTGCTGTCCCACCTATGACTCCTTTAAGAGGCCATTGGAAAAAGGCCATTTACAAGTTAATGTTACTTGTAGCTTTGTTACTAAGACTCACCTATTGTTAGTCCGGCCAAGTCACAGAAATGCTTATTGCAGTTAAATAGCAATTTGTTTCCATGAAACTGCAATTAAAGTATTACTGAGCAGCCATTTTAGATTGGCAGTGCTCTGAACGCATGTTAAACAGCCAGCTACTCCCACTTGCAGAGTCTGAGATCTGACTAGCAGCAAAGTGTAACACATTCACCGATGCTGGGTACCTAGTTAAAGAGGCATTTGTAGCCCTCTGCTCCCATAGTGAACATGCTGAGAGCAATGACAAGTGGGGGCTGATTTTTGGAAGGTGAACTTGCAACTTACCTCAAGTGAATACTGTTTTCAGTTGTACAAGAAGTGCTTTATGCTAGTAGATACGTGCATGTTTCCTAGAGGGAATATTTTCAAGTTCAGATTGATTCTGCTGAGAATGGACGGCAACTCGGAGGCCTCAAGCCAATAATGTACTACAGGCCCTGACATGTTACAGCTGTGTAAACAGGGCCATTCTATTTCCTAAATCACAACTAATAAAGCAGAGGATGAAAATCAATTGATTCTGTTATAAGTTCTTTGAATGACACTGGAAAGTTGTTTAATGACTCCCTGTTAGAATGGACAAGCCTGAGTAGAGTCACCAAAGTACCGATTTTAATTGTCTCTCTCTCCCCTCAGAACCAGGGCAGGACAGCCTTTCCTAGGTATTGACATCATCACCACCAGATCAAAACCTGCTGGGAGAGGAAGGACCTGAACTGAGTTCTTCCAGTAGATCTGACATTCAGAATTTGTTGAGTGAGAAAGGTGAAGTGCAAAGGTTGCATTGAAAATGTGAAACATTGATGCAAGATCCTGAGAGAGAAAAAAGATTTCAGAGGTGGTGTTTTAAAATGCAATTAGCACTGAATTCTAACCAGTTGGAAACAATCATTAGCTCATGAGAACAGGAGGCATCTCACCTTCCTTCACTCTAGAAGAACCCCCCATCTTGAACTAAGAGATTCACATCCCCAACCTCCTCAAAGACAATTTTTATATTTGTATGCTTTCACCTGTTGTTTGAGCTGCAAGTTTTGTCTTAAGAGTTTCTTCCTAAATTAATTTTTCATTTTTGGTGAATTGAATGTTTTTAGGAACTGTAAAGAGAATCTGAGGACAAATAGGATTTACAAATGAAGATTAATTATGAAACCTGGAAAGGAAATTGATTTCTTGGGTTGTTACTGTACCTTTTTCTTTACTTAAATAAGGTTTCGTAGGAATAGGTGTGTCTTAAATTCTATTTCTCTGAGGCCTCTGATTCAGTTTCTGTCATCAATCATGGGACTTAAACTTGCCATAAACCTTACATCTTTAAATACAATGTTTAATATAATAACTTTATCTTGGAGTTGCATAAAGCTTTGTAAATGTATTTATACATTTACGTTTACAATGAACAAGTACTTACACATGCAATATCATTAGGTCCTCATAATCCTTTGAATTATTATTCCCTCAGTTTTACAGATGAGGTAACTAAAGTTCAGGGAGATTACTTATTAAGCAGGGCTAAGAGAAAGGTCGAGGTTAGTGGGCACTTATTTTGGGTGTAGAATTTAAGGAGGTGTCAAAAAATCAGTAATTAAGATAATCTTTTAATGCAGCATTTTAAAATCAATGCAAAAAACATGATGAACAAAATGTCACAATTTTAAGTAGAGGTGGGGTCAATATTACTTACTTTGTTTTTGCCGCAGCCTCCAACGTGTTGGGTGTTGTTATTAAGGCCCAGGGTCCCAGAATTGCTATTGAATGCTGGCATTTAGGACATTTTGGTAAAATTACCTGCACTGATGATGTGCTTTATCCTGTTAGCTATAACTAGTTTCTTTCCTCTTAAAAAAACATTGCATTTTGTCTTTATCCAACCTGAAATGCCAACTTATTTAGATTGCCCACATTTCAGCCTTGCTCTAAGAGATATTTCTTTTGAATTTTGAGAAATCTCAACTCCTTCATGATGAATATTTAGGTATAATTGATAATAACTCTGCCCACAAATTGTTGTTGCTGAGGAACAAGAACAAGACTGTCATAATCATATTAGTTCAGAAAGAAAAATGGATCAAAATACTCCATACAAAGTAGTAAAGGATGTGTTTAGAATCTTTGAATGAGCTGTGGCTTGAGCCACGTAAAAGACCTTACAATAAATTAGATTATATAAAAGTAATTTGTACTTGTATAAGTAGAAAAGAAGTAATACACATGAACAGTTTTAGGAAAAGTTTTTACATATTCTAGTGTGATGTAAAAAGTAGACATACCTCAAAGGAACTGATGTTTATATTGTTTTAGGATGGGAAAGCACTGAGACATTCAAAGAGAACAAATTATACCTTTACTTGTACACTAACAATTCTCAGATTATTTTAAAATTTTGTTGGCTGTACTTTCTATTTTCCCATTAATTGCTAGGGTTTAAAAAGATACAAAAAATTGTACTTTTTAAAATAAGTTACTTGAACAAGTAACATATTAAATCCAAGCTGCCTTTATTACAAAGGGAAAAATGGTTAAAAATATCTACTCCAATTTAATGAAACATTCTTTAATGTTGATATAAAATGGTGAAGCAAAAAGCAAAAAAGACTTATTTTTGTGTGTGTTTTTGCACAGACTGTTGACTGCAGTGGATTTCGGTGCCAAAGTACCAATTCTTAAAGCCCATAATTTCTATATGTTATTTCATGGGGTATCTCGCAACCCAATGGCCCTTTGCATGCTATCTTTTAGTCTTATTCTACTATGTGCAAAATGAGACTGAAGCTAGCCAGTATGTGTTTTTTTTAGTCCAAAGACTAAATTACCCTTCTCATTGGTTATGGATGGATATACATATATCCACCTTAGATTATAAGGACCTGGAAAAATATGTATAGATCAACACACCTATAGATTCAAACTACAGAATATCAATAGAAAAGGGCAAGATGCTTTGTAGATATGTGTACATTATGGCCTAAGGTCATAAATTTAGTAAGTGAAGTCTGATGACAACACTGAGGAGTAGGCAAGATTTGCACCAGGTATGGAGGCTGCAGGACCTGTATACTCAATTACTTGGTTATACTACTCTATAGTATAACCAAAAACCATGATACATTCCAGTTTTTCAATAAATGCCATCTGTACCCAGAGCTGAATAGCCAGTACAAACCATACCCTGAATAATATTTACCAGTGGTGTTTCTTTTTTTTGGCAGTGGGTGGGAGTGGATGTTTATGAAATTGATAATAGATGAAATATTTTCTCTTAGAATTCTAGGCTATGAGGAAATTTCTGTCGTGATAAAAAGGAGGGTAGGGAGAATGGAAGGAACAATTTTCTAGATAAATAGCTCTGCGAGGGAGTTTAAGGGGCTGGGGTCTCTCACTGCAGTTCGGGAAGAAGGATGTACAGGCTCCACAAACACCCCTGCCGCACATCTCATTTCAATGGTTTTGTTTGTCTTATTTCACGACTGTCAACAAGACCCTCTGCCCTAACCACCCGCACAGGTGCTTTTGCTGTGTGTGGTAAAACTCAAGCTATGCTTTTGTGTACTTCAAGCTCCTGTAAGGCTGTGACATCAGGAGGTCTCAGACATTAGCAGAGTTGGCAGTTTTTGAAAGTTGATGTGATACAGCATTTGGTGACACTTCACAGGTGTGTCAGGGAGAGCTAAGGCGGAATGAAAATTGCAATAGAAAAAAAGCAGACTCCAATGCTCTTGATGAAGTTTGAGGTACCACTGTGGAAAAAAAGGCCTCTGGTTCATTAAAGCTACAGCCTCTGGAAATCGAATCCTTTCTTTCTCTGAGAGTAGAGGGAGGCAGTAGGAGTCAGAAGAAATGGAGGGGGCAGGTTTGAGTTTTCTGATTTGTTACTGAGTGAATCAGGAAGATAAACAGGCTTGATTTTCAAAAGACGGGCAATCCTAAATGGATTTCTGACACTGAGGTCTAGCTAGGCCTTTCTTTCTTCATGGGAATGGATATGATTCACGAAACTCCATCAACCACCTCATGCTGTAAGCAATTTTTTTTAACCCTCTTTAAGTAGTAAAACATGTTTTAACGTTTTAAAAAAGAGGGAAAGAGAATTCAGGCTGGCTTTGGAGTTCTTGAAAACCAGACAGTCTTTGCTGTGGGTGAAGTAAAGGTGTAGCTGTAATATTTTTCTCCCTAAGTTGTGTTCTATATTTTTTAGCCTGGAATTTGATTTCTAGTGGCCTAGCAAAGCATTCTGCCTCTGGAATCCCCTTGTTTTGCATGCAGATGGCATGTTAATGAACTCTCTACTGTGCATTTTATCCCACTCTGGACACATTTGTGACATTATTTTTCAAAACTAAATGAGGTTAGGCAGTTGGTTGATTGGGCCTGATGAGAATTGGGTGACTAAGTTGAAAACATTCTCAAAACAGTACCCACTTACCCAGGGTTGCTGCTAGATGTTCTATGAAACAATCCTTCCCCCAAAACAGGTAGTTGGATTTCCTTGCGTACATAGAGACTTGTAGAACTGTGTGCTTTCCAGAAGGTGTGTGATCAATTTCATTCTAACACTAGGTAATTCTGGGCTGTCTTTTTGATTTCTTGAGTATCTGTGGGCATCTTGTGCATCTTTTTTTAAACTTAGGTTTCTACACCATCATCCCGACTAAGGGAGATCGTCAGTACTCGTTGTCTTGCGGGGAGTGTTATGACAATAAATGATGGACTATTTACCTCGTATTTTGTGCTTTGTGCCTTTTAGGAGGAAGGCGCTTGTGCCTCCCCACTCTCTCCTCTTATTTTAAAGCATGTAATAAAGCACATATTGCACTGTAGTGAAATAAGCACTAAACTGGGAGTCAGGAGACACTTGAAATTTAATTCTAGTCCTGAAAGGAAGTCAAATGGCAACTATGATTAAATTTGCCTTTCTAATCAAATATTAGCCATGGGCTAGTCATTTAATCTCACTACCTCATCTTGCCCATCTGTTAAATAGGAATTTACTGGCAACAGCTATATTTGCCAGTGCATTTGACATATCACTAAAGGTAAAAGGGCTTTATATTCTGAGGATGACACTATTTTGGACTGTAAATACTGAAACACTGGAAAATATAATAAATTCTCCGACTTAAGTGTTAATTATAAGGTCTTCAACTTACTTCAAACATTATTGTAACCAACTCTTGGCCTGTCTTCTCTAAGGGAGGAGAGTGATGATATAGATTAATCCAAAATAATGGATTACACTCAGATTATTTTTGGTTTAGAATGTATTGTGTGTGTTTTTAAGCAAGGTAATAATGCCTTTGTTAGGCAAATGTTATTCAAAATTTACAGTTTCATAAACTCAGACCAAATAGTTGGTAGAAGGTAGCTCAAGAAAGAAATGAACATTTCTTAAACAATTATGTGGCCCAGGCATCTCTTTCATGTGTTATCCCCAGCATACAACTTTGAGGAAGATGTTACTATTCCTACATTTGCATTTGAGGAAGCAGGAACTTAGGTTAAAAAACCCTTGCTCAGAGTCACACTGCTAGAGTTGGCTGAACAGAGATGAATCTGACCCCAGAGCCTTATCAACAGGTTCCCATGGTCACCTATAAAGAAAAGCATATTAGGATTAAAACTTTGCCATACCGGTCTCCATCAGTTAATAGAGTTGATGCTATACATTTAAAACCATAGCAAACTAGTGAATATTAAAAATGTCTGATTGCCTTGGGAAGGAGACTTTGATCCAGCTATCATTGTTTACATGTGAAAATATTAATAGTTGTAGTGCCTTTTTGATGACACACTTTCCTTCAAAAGGATAATGACACATTTCCCATTTGATAGCTATTTGGGAAAGGAGAAGAAATTATCATTTGTTGTTTATCTAGTAATTCAATTAGAGCTAACAATTATTGAGCTCAGCACTTTGTATGCAATCACTCGTTTAATTCTCATAAAACCTATAAAGTGGGTTTTATGGATCCATTTTACACATATGGAAACTGAGACTTACAAAGGTTGGGTAACTTGCCCCATATGTTCAGTACATGGTAGAGCTGATGCTTAAATCTAGGTCAGTATGAACAATGCTGTTATGTGTCAGGTACTGTACCTCATTTAACTTTTGTGACAGCCCCTCAAGTAAGGTGTCGTCACTGCCACTTAACAGGTAAGGAAATGGAGGTTCTGCATGTTTGCATAATGTTCTAAGGCCACATAGATTTGCCCCACTTGGAAGCCCATGCGCGAACCAGAACTGTGTCACCTGTGCAGTGTGTAGCTCAACTCTGTCGAACTTCTGTTTGGTTATAGAATAAACTGGGAGGAAATGTCTAAAACTTGGACCATTTGTGTCTTCAATCTTAGAGATCTTTAGAAGCACTTTTTTTTCCCTATCACCATCTAGAGATTTATCAAATCTCATTAGCTACTGTTAAAATAATGCAAGTGGAGCTCTGGGTTGGTTAGCATATTTTTTCTTTACATTTTCTAAAAATGGCCCCAATTGTGAGTCACTCTCATTTATCAAAGGAACTTCACTATATCTGTAGCATTTATTTTTTCCATTTTCTATGAGACAAACCTTTGGCTGGAGCATATTTTAATTCTAGTTGACCCACTTTACTCCATGTTGCTTTGGACAAGTAGAAGTCTCTTCTGAATTTGCTTATGGGCTTTGCAGGCAGGCAAAGATCACAGATATTTGCAAACTAGTTAAGTCTTACTCAAACTCAGGAGGTAGATTTTAGGATAGAAAACTAGATGCCAGTGTAGTGGTCTTCAACACATGGGTTCTACAGCAATGGAGTTTGTGCGCTCTCCCCCTGACACTAGTGCTGCTGCCTCTGGGAAGTCTTCTTGGATTTTCCAACTACATTGGAGAGTCCTCTACTGGATTTAAATAA